ACATATTAATTAAAGAAATAGATTAAAGTTCTAAAAATAAAGTATGAGTTGGATGAATAAATAAATTTGGTAATTAATTACTTGATTCAACAAACAGTGAATTAATTAGTAAATAAGTAAAAAAAAAATAAATTCTTTGAGTAATAATTTATTTTCTCCCTTTGAAGAGGTTCACGCTACAAGCGAACGACGGAAAGAGGTAAAGTCGACTTGCATAATGCTGTCCTGTTTGTCCTAATTGCGAATCTGAATAATTTTTTTTTTCATACTTGGTTCCAAAAAGATCAAAAGACATAAAATACACCTGATCCATGGATAATGTCCTCTTTTATTGCTACTTTTCTGAAGTAGCAATTCAAGTGTCCAACCCTGACTACAGTGGCCAAGCCTGACTACATTTTCTTTTTTTAAAAAATCTCCATTTCTATGTTTTTCATTTCACAACATAATGTTCATTGTCAGACATACCTTTTGCCTTTACCTTTCAAACTATTTACGCAAATGATCTTAATTCTTATTAAAACGATAATTTTGGGCAAGGGTCGAAAGTGTGTCCAACCCTGACGACATTCCCCTATACTGCGTGCAATAACTACACAACTTACGGTAAAGTTTAAGCAAAATAGCTTTAAAACTGAGGGATAAGTTTGAAGAGAAACGGACAGACGAACAGACAGACAGACGGACAGACGTACAGACGTATTTCGATTCATATCGTGATGCTGATCAAGAATATATATGCTTTATGGAGTCTGAGGTTTCTTCTTCCCTGCGTTGCAAACTTCTGACTGAAATTGTAATGCCCTTCTCTCTGCAAGGTTATACAATAAAAGTTTCACAGCCAATGTTCATGATAGAGTTGGAGCCGGAAAGAAAAAAAATGAAGTTCACCCAATCTATAAGCTTTAATATCTATTGCACCTTAGGATCACCGTTGAGGAACCCCAGAAGCGGAATAGGTCCGTGCAATGCATGAGTGGTCAGAAACGCTGCACCCCATGGGTGTCACTGAATTCTTCCTTTTCGACCTAAGATCCTCTCTGGGGTTAACAAACTACTACATATGCTTCATTAAGTATATTGCGGCAATCGCCAGGCGCCTAACAAGTATCCGAAAAAAACGAAAACGGTGAGACAAAAGTATGAGTCAAAGAAAATTGACTTTGAACTAAAAATCCTAGCCTAGGAAAATGTTTTACTCTCCTACCCAGATTTTAAGAGACCGTTCGACTTAACAACCGATATATCAGAATGTACTATCACAAGATGGACGCCCAATTACAAGATCCAGTTTTCTAAGTGATATCGAAAAAAATTTTCGACTTCAGTGAAATAATTCTTTTGACAAGCAATAAATATAAACAAGAAAGGAAGCTAGCTTCGGCAAGCCGAAGCTTATATACCCTTGCAGTCATATTTGATAAATGATCATGATATGCATAAAGGCTAAACAACATCGAAGCTATGACGATATTCGTATAAATTTTCCATATTTTCGACTAAGGTTCATATGGCAGCTTTATGATATAGTTGTCCGATTTTGATCAGATTTAATTAGTAGTTCAAGAGCCGTTATAAACCTCTGTCTGATGAAAAACAACGATGTTATAATTTTATTTCCCTTATTTCTATATAGGTAGATATTTCAATCTTTCTTATGGCAGTAAATGATAACGTTGTCGGATTTTAATGAAATTTTTTTCTTGATTAATTAATCTTGGGATTAATTAATTTGATATTTCCTATGGCAGCTATATGATAGAGTTATCCGATTTTGATAAAATTTAATCCGAATTTCAATAGTAGTATGAAAACACCATCTGGAAGAAATCAAGTCGATTCGATAAAAAACAACGGCGTAATAATTTTTTTTCCGAAATATTTTTGACGTCTTGTACTGTGTGCAATAAATACACAACTTTTGGTAAAGTTTCATCAAGATTGCTTTAAAACTTAGAGACTAGTTTGAAGAGAAACGGACAGACGGAGAGACAGACATACGGACAGACAGTCAGACGGACAGACGTACAGCCGTATTTCGATTCATATCGTGATGCTGATCAAGAATATATATACTTTATGGGGTCTGAGGTGTCTTCTTCACTGCGTTGCAAACTTCTGACTGAAATTATAATACCCTTTTGCTCTGCAAGGGTATAAAAATCGATTCATTTCGTAACCGATGATAAACCTTAAGAAATAGTCGATTAAAGCCCGCGGAATTGATAAGAAAATAAGTTAAAAAATTCACCAGGAAAAGATGAACAAAGATAGGAACCATAGGGACTATCAAGTCGTTGACAAAGTTTTAATAAATGTAAATTAATCGCTTAGGAAACAAGCAAAGGCAATCGTAGAGGCAGATCTGGGGACCACAATTCTCATTAAGGGGAGGGTGGTCCACAAGGCAACGGCGCAACAAACATGAAAACCTACGAAGACTAGCTGACCAGACAAAAACGAAAACGAAAATATTCACAGACGATCCCAGGACGCCAGTTATATTAACGGACCTCAGAAACATTCGCAAGTTAGACGCTACACTACAATTTCAAAACAGGGCCGCCTGAAATATGAACGTATTTAGAACCGCTCTCAAAGTTATAGCAGGTACGACTGACGATTGGAAACAAATAATATTCAATCAAGAGCTATTAATAAAAACAGATTAGGGACAAATGGAATGAAGTATTAAAATTTATGCACATTTAAATGAACTCATGAATTCAATTAATGAAATTCAAAAATTCAAAACGGATAAACCCACACCTTTTGAAAATTATTTTGGATAGAAATAGAATTGTTATCACAGATCTAGAAAATTTCCTTTAGGCTTGACGCTAGCAAAACTAAATATCCGGCTATCCGAAATTGGCGAGTTTAGAAATATAAAAAGTATCTAGGACCTATTGTTTGCTAAATTTCCAAATCCCAAGCTCGTATATAAGAAAATAATGGTCTACCTGGTTCAACATACATATGTACATGACATCATAAAGAACATCTGAAACCCCTGCTTGTGTTGTATTAAATCCAAATGATTTATTTTGTAAGCGAACCAAAATAACAAATGGTTTCGAATAGACCCTCAAGTCGGCCACGCACTTTAACAGTTTTTGTTGCAACCTACTTATTCAATTGGTCACCAAACAAAAACCATGATTATAGATTATACAATTCCCAAACATAAGATAAAAATAAAAAAAGCAGTCCCAAATCGGTTTTTTGAAACGGGTCTGAAACACATTTCAAATATATTAACATGTATAGTAAGTATATTCGGCAGAATATTCCAAATGTATAAGATCCCAGAAAAAGAATCGGTCTATTTTTCCAGATCTCCACCACTTCTATGCTCTATCGCTCACTAAACAATAGTAACAAATTTCGGCTCCCCGGACCCGCACACCCCCTCGTCCACGTTACTATGGATACAATAATAGAACTTTCGTCACTCCTAGATGGCGCCAGGTGGCAACCCAACCGCTAGGATAAGTCGCTACTGGCTAAACACCGTTCGATCGAAAATCAAAGATTATTAAATCCTCTACAAAAATTGAAGAGGCCCTTTGCTCCCGGGTGGAGTGAAGAAGGTAAACTTTTTATAAGATACGGTAAAGTTGCGCTTTAGGGGCTCTTGCTAAAATGGGCTAGTTATTTTTTTTAAGGGATTCCTTGGGGCTTGAATATTAATAATCATACTTTCAAACGAAAGCGAAGACAGAAAAGATTAGGAACCGAGCTCTTATGTATTTTCCAAAAACAGACTGACAACCTGAAATTTTATATTTATTATAAAGTCTGGACTTTAAATTCGAAAGGTGTGTCAACTCTTTGCTAAACCAAGGTGGTTTATTGGATGTTGACGGGTTCTACAACGGAACACACGAGTTAAAAAACAGTTTGATTGCCAAATAAAAAATTGTAATGGCGTCTTCCATATTATTATTGCAGGAATAGAGATTGGACCAGTCATTGGCAGATATAAGATGATTACATCTCAGAAAGTTAGCCTTGCGAAAACAAAGAATTCGCTTGGCTGCCTTTGTAGCATTATTTTTAACCGTTTTACCAGTGTCGATAGTTAACTCGAAAGCAGGATGATACGAAACTTCAGGCAGCGTAATTGGTGATGCTCTGGAGGTAAATACAGTATCAGGATATGAGATAAGGCACAAATCTGAAAACGTTATCCGATTTTGATAAAATTTATTCAGAAACTCAATAGTAGTTAGAAAACGCCATTTGGAAGAAATCACGACGATCTGATCAAAAACAAAGGCGTAAAAATTTTTTATTTCATTCTCTCGTATGTGAGCTATTCTATACGATACTCATTTATGAATTTTTTGGCCCCAAGGTAGCCCTTTTTAACGGACGAGGAATAAATTCAGTGCCAAGCAAGAAAGGAAGCTAGCTTCAGCAAGCTTATATACCCTTGCAGTCATCAAATATCTCGAACAGAATACACAAAGGCGAAATTTTCCATATTTTTTGCCATATGAATGAATGATGAAATTTTATTTGTTTGTCAAGAGTCAATAGAAAACTCTATATTCCAAAAATCATGATTTTCTGAAGAGAAATAACGATGTTATCATTTTATTTCCGTTGATTCTATATCGATTTTTCGATCTTTCCTATGGCAGCTATATGATATAGTATAGATTTCTTATGTTTATTTTTTTGTCAATAAATAAATCAAATTTACGTTTTATTCCCCTTTTTTTAATTAATGTTTAGGCCCCAAGGTATCCCTTAAAAAAAAAAAAAATGTTGCCCATTTTTAGCAAAAGCCCCTGTAGCGCTACTTTACCTAAGATACAATGTACACTTGCGTATGTTCTACAAAAATAAAATAAAATTAAGACGAACTGCGAATAATATATAAGTATGTACACATGAACGATTCGCGCAACATTAAAATCGTTATTTGTTAACTGTGAAATTTGTAAATTTGGTTTTTGTACCAAATATTATTATACATTATTAGTACTTACATGTGTACGTTCATATAAACACAACCAAGTAATGCTCATGTAAATTTATGTATGTATAACCCACAATGTACATATGTATGTATATACATACATGCATATGTATGTTTTTTGTTCACATCTGCAAGCTTAAACAAATTACAAAGAAGTGTAGCCAATTCATATCTATAAATGTGTACGGTATTAAGTATTCGGATTTTATTTTAACTTATTTGCAGCATATATTTTTAAACACTTTTTTACTTTGGCAAATTTATAAATACATTTTTAATCTTAAGTTTATGTCTACACAAAAGGAAGCGCACATTATACAATATTTAAACACCGACTGAAGGAAAAACGACGTAAGGCCAAGCTTTAAATAAAAGCGACATTAAAAGTTTCAAACGACAGCTTTAAAGCTTTACTTCCATTGATACTTTTGTAAGGGCACTTCAATATTGACCTTAAATTGTACTTCTTATAGAGCTTTGTATGAACGTTGAGGTACAACGGTGTAAATGTACATACCGATGTACTATGTTACATTTTGCTTATATGACTTATCGATTTTATTAAGTTTTATGTTGTCTTGTTGTGTTACATTAATTTTTCTACCTGTGACCTGTATTGTATTTCTTTAAATCCATTTATATACATACACAGGTACATATGATGGTTTTAAAATTAAAAAGCTGTGATCCTTGTTTTCTTATGTTTGAAAATATTAAATATTATTGTCTGTTCACATATATACATACATATGTAAAAGCTTTAATTTAAGCTGCCAACTTTTGACCTTTCCGTATTATTCGTGTAAATACATACAATATATGTATTTCTGTTTTATTGTTTTTCTAAGTTTATATATGTATGTACGTGCGTACATGCGTAATTCATACACACATATATGTATGTATGTATATATGGCTAGTCGGAAATTTGGAAACGTATTCAAAAAGCAAGCAATTTGAAGTAACGCGCATCTGATTCTACTCGTGATGCTGATCAAGAATATATACATATGTATACTTTATGGGGTCTAAGGTGTCTCCTCACGGTTGCCACTTCAAAAATTTTTTAATGAGCCAAAAAAAGATTAAAAATGAGCCAACTTGAATTAAAAATAGCCAAATTTTTAATTATTTTTTTTTTTAACTTTTATCATAAAAAAGTCATATAAAAAAAATAAACAAAAACATCACAACATATTTTTCTGCAATGAAACTAAGGATTACTGGATAATTTAGGTAATTCTGTGTTATGTGCGGCGAATAATAAAAAAATTTAGAACAGAACAAAAGGTAAACAATGTTTGTTTACTGGCTGCTGGCGATAACAAGTGCATCGACGACTCGTTGGTCCAGGGGGTCGGGCAACCGAGTGCACTGCGGAACTGGTTCCTTAGACCGGATAACTCCAAAATGAACCGAAATTTAAGTCTGAAGATTTTGAGTGATTTTTGGAGAAGAGAGAGGATTAGAAAATAAAAAACCACAAGGAGATTTAAAGGGCAAGAGTCAGTGGTCAAAGACAGTTCGGCTAGAAAAAAACTTAATTAAATAATAATTCAAATTCCTACCTGTGAGTTAAAACTCAATCTATTTTTTTTTGATGTAAGTGAAGATAAATTTAATTAACTATAGAGTATTCCGGAGTGAATAATACGGGGGAGGAAGAAGAAATTTTCTGAAGGAAGGAAGAAGACCAGCCACCCGAAAGAGACGACTTTTCGCACAGAAAATTGGCCACTTATTCCTGGGTGGCCACAGGTTTTTATTGCAATCTCGATATCTTCACTTTTGCCGACAAAAAAAAAAAATTTTTAAAAATTGCGAGCAACAAATATCAACGCAAATTAAACTCAACGACCCTATAAAATTAAAAAATTAATTAAAATAATTTATTTAGAACTCATATTTATTCACAATTATATTTATTCAAATTATTTATAAACTCCAATATAATTAACGCCCCATTATTATTTATTATTATTTATTTAATTGTGATATCCGCCCTATTTATTTATTTAATTATTAATATTTATTTATCTGTATCTATCTATATACATATGTGTTCCATGTGAAAGTCCATCGGTACCGTTGGTAGGCTAAATAAATGTTAGAATTTAAGAGAACTTGTTTCTGAAAATATAACATGAATTTAAAATGAATTTTAAATCGGTTGGAGTAGAAATTCCTGTTGGGGGATGAGATGACTTAGGCAAGGAAGTCCGACCCACAACTTAAAGTGAGATGTGTCCGAGATTTACCCGAGGATGCACTCATGGTTGGGAGGGGACTCCTAGGACTACAGATTTGGCAGTGTAGTCCAGTCCTGTTAAAAATAGCCGTTGTACAAGTTTGAAATTCCGTTTTGTTTGTTTTTTTTTTTGTTGTGTCTGCTGCGTGGAAATATTTGTGGTTGTTCCCCCCCTGCACAGTGGGCGATTTGGCCTCGCTAGCGGCATTTAATTCACGTAGTGGTAATTCAGATAAAGTTTATTTATGAAATATGTTTTTTTTTTAACTTAAAAAATTCTATGATTTTCCTCTGATCAGTGAAAAAAGAACCGATTAAAGACATCTATTTTAGTTTAGAAGTTATTAATTAAATGCCGCTAGCGAGACCAAATCGCCCACTGTGCCCTGGGATCACGCTGACTAGCCGGCAACTCCACCGCGCGAAAAACACACATGACATCTGACATATGTTCAGAGCTACCATACCAGTGGATTAATTTAGTTTCGATCTGGCACTTTTAGATTTCAGACATTAATCACTTTTATAATTGCACAAAAAACAAAAATGCATAAATAAAAAAATGAATTCGTTTTTTTCAAATTTAAAATACTTTGTATCGCTATTAGCAAAAAGAGCCAAATTCAATAAAAATGGGCCAAAGAGCCAACGAGAAAAAAGACCCAGTTTTGGCTCAAAAGAGCCAAATCTGGCAACCGTGTGTCTCCTTCACTGCGTTGCAAACTTCTGATTGAAGTTATAATACCCTTTTGGTCTGCAAGGGTATAAAAATCCCTTGCTTTTATTGTATTGTTTGTAGGGTTTGGCTCAAAAGAGCCAAATCTGGCAACCGTGTGTCTCCTTCACTGCGTTGCAAACTTCTGATTGAAGTTATAATACCCTTTTGGTCTGCAAGGGTATAAAAATCCCTTGCTTTTATTGTATTGTTTGTAGGGTTGTTGATAACACTGCTCTGCAAATTTCAACTTCTGGACTGCGAATAAGATGCGATATAGTGTTTCCGAAAGGTTTTTTTCGTGCTGATCACGAACCCGGAGTCGAAATTTTCCCATCACGTCAAGTTTTCGTAAAAATCGTGTTTGAAAAGTGAAAAAATGGCGTTTTTGGCCACTTTTGAAAAGTTATACACCAAAATTCTGTTGTCCTACGAAATTCGTGTGGCACCCATACATCGAGCTTCTTAGTAACTTCAAGCTTCTTCAAATGGTTTATAACGGTTTTATGGCTCATGCCCAGCTCTTGACCGATGCTACGGCTGCTACTATGCCGGTCTCTTTCGACCAATTCAGCGATTTTATCGCAATTTTCGACGAGCGTGGCGCATCTTCGACCACCTCTACACCAGAACGAAAACGTTGAAACCATCGTTGTGCGGTGGAAATGGAAACTGTATCGGGTCCATAAACTGCACAAATTTTATTGGCGGCTTGAGATGCATTTTTGCCTTTATCGTAGTAGTACTGTAAAATAGGCCGTATATTCTCTTTATTTTGCTCCATGATTGCGACGCTATAACTAACGAACGACTTAAAAGAAAAGACAATCAGTCAAACACGTGTTAGTGCGTTAAATAAGCTTTCCAAAAAGGTATAGTATGACCTGATGCGACGAATAAAACAAGAACTACGCGCTTTCAGCGCCAACTAGCGAAAATACCGCAAGACTTTTTGAAGTGCAACTTCTTTAGGCTTCGGCCACGCATTGAGCGATGAGCGACTGAGCGACGCTCTCTCGAGCGACGTAAAATATTAAAGCTTATGAGAATGCATTGGAGTGGCCACGCAGCCGCTGAGCGACGAGCGAAGTTCTTGAGCGTCAGAGCGACGTCGCTCAGCGCTAGAATTGGTTTTAATTTTTAGTGCATCGCTGAGCGACGAAATGCAAACAATGCAAAAAATATGCGCGGAAACTTTAATTTCGGCTGTTCAAAGCCGAACCGTTTTATGGAACGACACTCATAAAGTGTATAAAAATAAAAATACATAAAAGTATATAAATAAAATAAAAATAAAATCAATCGATTAATGGGATGAACGTCAAACCTACGTCTTTGTATTCTTTTTAATTGCCTATATTTACTATAACGGCTTTCAAACAGATTTCGTAGAACCTCTCTAGAATAAGGCATTTTTACAATTTTTACAACTAATCATCTCGAGTGATGTCGCTCAGTGCGTGGCCACCTCCCTCAAAGCGATCGCTCATTAACGTCGCTCGAGAGAGCGTCGCTCAGTCGCTCATCGCTCAATGCGTGGCCGAAGCCTTAGGCGCGTTATAGATATTCGGGGGCGGAGTAAAACCGATTCATGACCGTTACGAAAAAGCGAGGATCCCCATCCCTTTCTAACCGCTGACGAACGATGTCTCTATCCTCCTCTATCCTTTCTCCCTCTCAGCGCGCTCGCACAAAGTTGAGAGCGTAAAAATCTAAAAATAGAATGCGGTTGCAGTTGAAAAAGGGGTGAGAGGTGTGAATGTCAAAAGGAATTCAAATCGAACAGGTTGCATACAGATATTAATTGGCACCATAATTTTTATCCATTTTATTTGACCTAGAAATGAAAACACATATCGATATGTATTTGTATTCGTTTCCAGTCATACATCCTCCGTTGGGGATTTGTGTGCTGCAGAATGTTCTCTGGCTAATGGGAAAAAAATTATTATGGTGTCAATTTATATCTCACCAGGTAAATCGATTACTGAAATCAAAGATTTTATCCACCACGTACTTCTGCCATGCACAGAGGATGGTTCGAGGTTATTGAATAAGAAATATCACGAAATTCCTATGAATATTTCGGGAGATTTTAATGTGAATTTCGCGAGGGAAGAATCTGTAGAGATTTTAAACTTTTTCAAAAACACCCTCAATTTGGACATTGTTAATGAAAGGAACATTAGCATGACTAGACATGGAACAACAATCGATGCAGTTTTTGCACGATTTATTAAGGGTTTGAGTGCTCATGTATATATCTCGCACTTCAGTTACCATAACCTAATTATCACGACATTAGGAAAAGATAATTGTGCAATTGATAATGAAAATGTCACATGATAGGTAAATTGTCAATGTATTTCCTTTGTAATTTTAAATTGTAATATTGTTATTTATGTAATATTGTATTAGTTGTAAATAAATTGAACATTTTTGGAACTATAGATACAAAAATTCATGCTTCGTCCTTGAATTATTGAACCTCTAATCTTCAAACTAACTTAAGAAAGA